ATTAAAGTGTATGTATATCCCTCCCTCACATGGGTTGATACCCTCAAAAACCAAGAAACCCACCTAACAAAACTAATTAAACTATAAAAAAATATAATCAAACTAATTACAAACTCAAATCACAAGCAAGTCAAGATAAAAAAAGGAAGAACAAATTATGACTTGTGGGAATCATTTATTCTCATAAAATATTTAATATATATGGGATAATTTTTTAATTAATTGAAGGAAAAAAAGTAATACCCTTTTAATTTAATTGTTATATTATATATTAGGTGACAGTTAATATAAAAAAATTTAATAAAAAATATTATATGTTAATTTTAATTACACATGATATAAATATTCACAGTGTTAACTACATCATAAAGATTATAAGAATTAAATTAAAATGAAATTGAATTATAAAATAAAAAATTGCAAATATTTTAGGCCCAGCAATCAAGCAGGCGTGTCGTCAAGCGGCACCCACCACCCATGTGCACGCCTCCTCTCTCCCCCCCCCCCACCCCCCCCAAATCCCCACACTTGACCTCTTAATTATTTCTCTAATCCCACTTTTAATTTTTCAAAACTACCCTTAATTACTTAATTAATAAAAATAGACGCCTTCATCATACACATATACATACACATATACATATACATATACATATACATATACATATACATATACACATGTATTTATGGAGACTATAGATCACTTTTTCAATTTTGTCTTGTTCCCAAAAATTCACTTCTCTCTTCCATTATATAAACTACACAAACCCACAAAACCCATCACTTCCTCTCCCCCTCCCCCTTTGCTTATACTCCCATTCCCAATAGACAAAGAAGAAAAAGAAAGACAAAGATGATGAAATTGAGGTCAAAGAAGTTCTACAAAAATGGTTTGTTGATTAGATTTGGTAATATTGCCAACAGTGTTAGAGCAGAAAAAAACTGTCGCACCAACAACAACAACAACAACAATAATATTAGTGTTAACCGCGAGATTAAATGGGAGTTGAGGCCTGGAGGTATGCTTGTTCAGAAGAGAGAATTGAGTGTTGCAAGCGAGACGATCACTTTAAAAGTTTCTACCGTTTCCAAATCACATTATATTTCCATCGACCCAACTTCGACTTTTGGTAAGTGATATCTTGATTTTTTTTTTTTTATCCCAATGTTTGATATCGAGTTTGAGTTAAATTGTATATTTTAGCGTGTTCTTATTAAAAAATTATATTATAATTATTTTATTTTCAACCAACTATTATTTAACTGAATAGTGTTACTTATTTCACATACATAAGAGATTTATATGTATTTTTCTTAATTTTTATGTGTATTTCTTAAAAAATTGTGCTATAATTGATCTACTTATTTTATTTTCAACTAATCACTCTTTAACTGAATTATTAATATCTTTTTCCGTATACAAAATGTTGAATATTTGAAACAGATTGTATACTTATATGTATTTTTTTTATTAAGTGACTACGTTATGATTAGTGTATATGTATATATATATATATATATGTTATTTAATTAATAAAATATATGAAATTAAAATATTTGGCAGGAGAATTGAAGATGGTAGTGTCATTGGTGACTGGTTTGGAGCCAAGAGAGCAGAGGTTACTCTTCAAAGGGAAAGAGAAAGAAGATGATGAATACTTACACATGGTTGGAGTAAAAGACAAAGACAAAGTCTTACTCTTACAGGATCCAGCCATTAAAGAGACGAAGAAGAAGCTTCATCATGCACTACTAGCTGCAGGCTGCCAACCCATTAATCATACCATTAGTGTTTAATAATTTAATTAGTAATTAATTAATCACTAACAAGAAGAAAGAAAAATGGGTTAACTATAAACCCTTTTTTTTCTTGGCTTAGGGTTAGGTTTCTATATATATATATATATATATATATATAATATTGTAATGTTAATGTTGTCTAATTTAATACGTGACAAGATGAATCATCTTGCTTAGTTATATATAAAAATATGTTGATTCCTTATTATTTTAATTGTAGATTTTATATTAAGTTGTAATTAATTAATTAATTAATATGATAATATTACTTCCATGTGGCCACACACCCACCCACCCAATCAATGGCACCAAAATTATTTTAAGATTAAAATGGTTGCATAAAATAGTGAATACATTTTGATGAATGTAGAAGCTGGCATTTGATAACATACATACATACATACATACATACATACATATATATATAAATCATGCTTTTGCCAAAAGC